CCCCAAAACCCCAAAACCCCAAAACCCCAAAAAGTAAAATTAGTAGTAATGGTGATAAATGGCAAATTAATTGAAGAAAAATGTTATAGTTTAAAATAAGTTGAAATTAATATATAAATTGATGGGTAAAGGAACTTGTCGAAAGTCTCTCCGCAAGATTGACTTATATGGGAAATCAATAACATTTACTTACAAAGGAATAGATGCATATAAGACAGCTCTTGGTGGATCAGTTTCATTTATTATCATGGCATTTATAACGGTAATAGTACTGCTGAAAGTAAATACTATGATTAATAAGGAAAACAACTAAATTAGAAAATCGTCAATAGTAAGAATTAATAACGAAAATTAAGCAGTAGAAAATTTGGGCGATGATGGTATTTCTCTTGCATTCATGGTCTCTGACAACAAAGGAAATCCCTATAAAGATAGCAGTTCAATTGGAGAATTCAAACTATGGTAGTAGACAGTGATAATGAGTTATGATGATAAATTAGGATCAACAGACAGGTAATATTCAAAGTAAGAGATTCCATTGAATAATTGCAATTCAAAAAGTTTGACTTTTAAAAATTTGAATAAAAAGGAACTAAGCAAGCATCCAGTATCAAGCTTTATTTGTCCTTAATGGGATAATCTCACTCTATAAGCTGATTAAAATGCTCCCTAGTACTAATACTTATATTTGGAATTCATAAAATGCACTAACCCTAAGAAATGCCCCAACACTGAACTTCTATAAGATACTATAGATACCTCATATATCCACTTCCTTGTTTTAAGTTCATATTTCGACGGCGATGATTTTGAAAGGCCTGTCAAACAATTTATGGACGATCTGACTTATCCAATAATGAATGATTAAAATCTACAAGCCATTATTAACTACAAAATAGTAGAGTTAGACTTGAACGATAATATTTCAGGACTCTTCACAATTTATACTAAAAAAGATAAGCTGTACCAACTTTCTTCATCTACTCAATTTAGCTAATCATTGAAAAATACTAACAATGCGATATTCACACTTAAAATATCTCTAGATAAATACGTTGACCAATATAAGAGATAAGTTTACACAATAGCAGCAGTTTTATAAGAAGTTGGAGGATTTAAAACTGCTCTTGTATTCCTTGGTTTTATAACATTCAACTAAATTCAAACAGCAAAATTTTATTTTTCAATGGCTAGGAATCTATTTTAAATCTAAGAGAAAGGCATGCTATTTGCACTTGGAGCAATAAAGAGAAAAAGACTTGATGGCACTGAATTAAAAGATTTTGTTTACAAAGAACTAGATCATGATAAGATAGAAAATCCTGAGATATTTGATCACGTAATGGATCAGATAGAGTCTTGACATCAATTTTGCTACAAATTCAAAGATGTACTTATGTCGGTGTACAAGGAATTATTTGGCTGGGCCAAGTGTAACTGTAGAAAAACCTATTAGCTAAAGCATCTCAGAGAGCTTTCTCACTAAATTTTAGCATAGAAGGGTAAAGATAAATTTACTCAGGAATTTGATGTTGTAAATGTTGTACGTAGACTTAGACTTGTAGATAAAATGGTAAAACTGTTGTTTTCATTGCCGCAGTAAATCCTTCTATACAATTAAAAAAAAGATGTAATTCTGCTGCAAGATTCTGATGATGATGAGCTAATTGATCACTCTATTCCTTAAAATTCATAATAAAGACAAAAACTTATTGAAAAATATAAAGGCAATTTGTAGACTAAAAATTAAATAAAAATTGATTTGCTAAGATTGGATTCCCGTAGATAGTAAATCGAAGAGGCCTTCAAATTCTACTAGGACAAAAAACTGATATCAGAACTGGATAGAAGGATAATAATGGGTACTGTTAGCAAGAGTTCAAAATGGGATTTCACTAAAGATACTTATGAAAAATTATTCGCTCAAAATCTAATTTAAATAAACTAAAAAGCGTAGAAGGCTTAAAGTTTAAGCTCAAAAAAATTTGTTTCCGGAGTCATTCATGCTGATAAGATAAACTCATATAAGAGATAGTCAACTCATTTTATAGTTAATCGCTATGCCTTTGAAGAAGAACATGAGGTAGTTTAAAAACAAAATACTAAGAGAAAGTCAATCTTCTTGCCTCGAGAAAGCATTGGAAAAATTGATATTGGACCACCAATCAACATTCAAGATGAGAAACCAAGCTATCTAACAAGTAGCTTATCATCAGAAGAAGAAGAAGTTAAATCAAACAAATCTGATCGTCATTCACCAATAAGTACAGCAAGAGAACTTAACTCTGTATAGAAAAAGCAGTTAATAAAACAGTTTAGCAAAAAGTCTCAATCAATTGATCAATAAAATACTAAGAAAATTACTCCAATTCATGAAAAAGCATTTAGCATTGTAGACTCTTTATCCTACAAAATAAACTTTAAAACTTCAAATAAGCCCTCTAAGCAAGCAGATTCTGATTAGGGAAAGGATTACCAGGCATAAGATGATGAAAGCAGTGCAGATGTATTTGAGGGAAATACACCTAGTGATGATGAAAATATGAATAACACGAACGATAACAGACTTCCTCTCACTCAAGCTGATTAGTATGATGAAGAAGCCCCTGTTTATCAATCTAATCAAAACTGATTTTCTTCAGTTAATTTTTATAACTCCCTGAATTTTTATATAGATATGATCCTTGGGGTTTTGGGGTTTTGGGG